AAAAAAACTTGATTTTAACGTTGAATTATCATCTAAATGGGAATCGTTTTCTTCTGTGCCTTATAAGTTGATTAGAACCCCCAATAACACAATACGGGTGTGGCGGTGCCATCAGGGAGCCACCTGGTCCATCCCCAGCTTCCCACACATGAGCCAATGTCAGCAGACGCACCGGTGCTGGTCAAACTGAACCCCCCAAAAAACAAGTCGTCCTCTGAAAGCCGACTGAAAGCTTCATCAATCAGTATATTTTACACTGACACTGAATCACTTGTTTTAGATATACCTATAATTATCATCGTTTGCTAATAAACCCCCCGGTTACAGTCATCCTCAAATGTATTCATCCCCTTCCATTAAAGAAACGGCAAAATCCACAATAGTCACTCAAATAACGCTAAACTGAAAAAAAGTAATAATAAATAAAAATTAGCTAAATTCTAATTTAGTGAAATAAGACGTTGCTTTTGAATTGTGGTCAAAAGGAAAGAAAGTGTTACAGGTGGTTGATGATAGTTTTCATGCCTAAACTTTACCATGTAGTTTTGTTGCCTAATGTTAACTAAGTAGTTTCCGTACCTAAGCTTTACCAAGTCTGCCCTGGTGCCTAAACTTAAGCAACTGGTTTTAATGCCTACACCAAGTAGTTTTGTTACATAAACCTAACCAAGTAGCTTTAGTGCCTAATCTTAGTCAAGCAGCTCGGTGCCTAGTTGTAACCGGCTAGATTGGTTGCTAAACGTATTCAACTAGTTTTGGTGCCTAAACTCGACTAAGTAGATCTGGTGCTTCAACCTAACCGAGTACTTGTGGTAATTAAACTTCACAATGGTGCTTAAAGTTATCCAAGTAGTTTTTTTTCCTAAACTTACCCAAGTAACTTTGGTACGTAAAACTTAACAAGTCAATTTTGTGCCTTAACCTAACCAAGTAGTTTTGTTGCTTAAACCCAACCAAGTACTTGTGATAAATAAACTTAGCCAAAAAGCATTAACTAAGTAGTTGTGGTGCCTAAACTTAACTATATAGTTGTGGTGCCTCTTAACCAGGTAGTTCCGTTTCCTCAACTTAACAAGTCGTCTTGTTGTGTAAACTTGGTACCTAAACTCAACCAAAGACTGAAAACTGACGTGTTTCATCACCAGCCTTTGGATGTGGGCTGTTGTTCCACTCTGTCAGTGCTACATTGCGGCTCCACTGCCTCTAAATAAGGGGATAGTGGAGCTCCATTAGATGATAACTGACTTCTGAGAACAGCAGAAGGTGAAGCTGGTCCCAGCCGGTAGTGTGTACGAGCATGATGTGCAATGATAACGACCATTTAGCATCAGAAATGGGTGCAGGGACGAGCCGATTAGCATAAATGGTGTAATGTTTCTGAGAATGGTTCTTGTTCAGCTGTCAGCGTGGACAGAAATAAGCCTGCTCTGATCCCAGGTTCATTTGAAGAGGCCACTGGGGATCTCACTCCGCCTGCATCTTCTGCCCGGTCTCTGCTCTGTATCACAAATGGTGGTGATGTGAGAATGTTCCAGCATCGAGGGGCATTATTCCCTCTGACCCGACGCCCTGGAGGCTCTCTAGGTAGAATAAACGGCTTCTGGCGTGAAGCTTGTCGACGCTGATCCAGTGAAAAGACGAACGGCATTGCGACCCCCTGATCTGCTGCTCAGCAAGGCTGCAGCATGGCGGGTTTACCTCCCGCTGCATCCACGTCACGCCGAGCTTTGTGAGGCCGAGCGAAGAGGTCATCCACCTCCGGAGCCGACATGAAAGGCGAGCGAGCGTCCCAGTGTCGTGGGCTGCTTTCAGACTTAGGAGGAAAGAGAGCAGGCTGCCGGCTGATCTGCCTACATGTCAGCGCTCAGAGTCAGGCGGCTACATTAAGAGCATCAACGAGTGATTAAATAAAAGGCTCCTCGCTTTTCGCTCATCTGTAGCGGATAAATGGGAATTGATTGATGGCCGCTCAAAAGTTGACGCCGATGTAGAGCTAACTGGCCTTTCTTTCATTTCTGGCCCTCATGCATCCTCTCTTTCTTCCTCTTCCCCCTCGTCTTTCAACAGCTTTCTTTTATTTCCTCTCGGTCTAATCCTCTGCCCTTCCTCTCCTCTCTTTCTTCTCCTGTCAGCCTTTTTATCCTTTCTCAGTTTCCTTTTCCTCTCGCTCATCCTCTCCATTCTCAACTCATCTTCTCCATATTCGTCCTCTCTCCTCCTTCATTTCAGATCTTTCTCTCCTCCCTCTTGCGTCTTTTCCTTTTCCCTTTCCTTATCTTACTCTTTCCTTTTCCTCATTCATCCTTTTCGTTTCTCTCCTCACTCCTGTGAAACTCATTTGGTTGTTTCCTCATCTCTCCTCTATCCTTGATCTTCTCCTTATTCGTCCTCTTTCTTCCTCATCCCCTAGCCTTTATTCCGTTTCTGTTCTTTTTCTCTTTCTCTTTTCTAACCTTTTCTCTATCCTTGTTCATCTCATTTCTTCTCTTTCTTTCTCTCCCTTTCATCTCTTCCATCCTCTCTTCCTCCCATCCTTCTTTTATTCCTTCTCTCATCTCCTTTCCTGATTCTCTCTTATTCCTTTTTCTCTCCTCACCCCTACCAATCTTCTCTCCCTGATCTTCTCATCCATCCTCTTCCTTTCTCTCCTCCCATCTTGCTTTTATTCACTCGTTGGTCTTTTCTCCTCTCTATCTTCCTCTTCTCTCATATTTCTTTAACTACTTCTATCTCCTTTCCTCTTTTCCTACTTCTTTCCTCTCCTCACACCTGTACATTTCTTCATATTTCCTGTCTTCTCCTCTTCCCTTCTTACCCTCTGGCTCTTCTTTTCTTCTTTCCTCTCCTATCTTTCATTCCTCTTCTCCACCAATCACATCTTCCCTTTTCCTATCTCCTCTATCCTTTCTCTTCTCTCGTCTCCTTTCGTCTCTTCTCTCCTCTGTCTTCTCCTCACCCCATTAATCTCCCTTCTTTTCATTTCCTCATTGATCTTCTCATTTGTCCTTTTTCGTTCCTCTACCCTCCATCCTTGTTTCCTCTCCTTTCTTCTTTTTCTTTTCTTTCATCACCTCTCTATCTCTTCTTTCATTCTTCCCACTTTCCGCATCTCCTTGTCTTTAACTTTCCTTTCCTCCTTTCTTTCCTCACATACTTTCCTTTCCTCTGCTCACCTCCTGCAAACCTTGTCTCGCTTTTTCTTTTCCACTTTCATCCTCTTCCTTCCCTTTCGTCTTTTCTGTCTCTCCTCATCCCTGCAGATCTCCTCTTTTTCATTTTCTCATCCCTCCTATGTCCTTGATCTTCTCCTTCTCCTCCCTTTTCCTCTATCCTCCTTTCCTTCCCTCTCCACATATCTCCTGTCTCCTTTTCCTCGTTTCCTTTCTCTCTTTATCTTTGCCTTTCCTTCCCTCCTTTCTCCTTCCATCTTTTTCTTTTTCCTCTTCTTGTCTTACTCCTTTTCATATCTCCTCTGTCCTTTTCCTTTTCCTCATTTGTTCCCTTATTTCTTTCTCTCCTCTCTTCTTTTCTGTCCTTTCTTTGTCTTCTCTCGCCTCCTTTTCTTTTCTCTTTCCTCTCTTATCTGTCTTTCCTCTCCTTCCCCGTCCATGTATCTCCTGTTTTCTTTACCTTTTCTTTCCTCACCTCTGCGTCTAATTTGTTTTCCTTTGCACATCTCATCTCTCGTTTCCTTTCCTCACCTCTCCTCCGTCCTTAATCTTCTCCTCCTCCTGCCTCATCCTTTATCCTCCTTTCTTTTTCTTTCCTCTCCTCCCCGTCCACGTAGCTCCTGTCTTCGTCTTCATCCTCGTCTGTCTCCTTTTCCTCGTCTCTTTTCTCTTTTTACCGTTACCTTTCCTCCCTTCTTTTTCTTCATTCTCTCCTCTCTTCCTTTCCTTTTTCTCATCTCCTGTTTTCTTCATCTTTCAATCATCTCATTTCATCTTTCCTTTCACTTCTCCTCTCTTGTCTCCTTTCATCTTCTTGTCTTTATTTTCCTCTCATCTCTCCTTTCTGTTTTTCTTTTCTCCTCCTCCCACACTCCCTCTATCTCCTTCACCCTTCCTCCCTTTTCTCTCTCTCTCGCTCTTCATCCTCTCTTTCCTCATTTCCTGACCTTTATCTTTACTCTCGAATCCCACTTGTCATCCTCCCCTACAAAGATCTCTCTCTCTCTCTCCTCTCCACGCATCTCTTACTCTTTCCTTTCATCTCTCCTCCTCTTCCTCCTCCTCCTCCTCCTCTTCTCTCTCTTCCAGCGGCAGAGAATCAGCGAACGGCAGCAGCAGTGTCACTCAGCTCGGCAGCAACTCGCATGAAAGTGAGGAGCTCTGCTTTTCTTTCTCCTGCATCTTTGTTTTCTTTTTTGTTTTTTTTTTCTTTTTCTTTTTTGCATCACCTTCTCTCTTTTTTAAAAATCTCTTCTTCCCATTTTCTCATCTCTACTTTTTTTTTTCTTCCCTCCTGCCACACTGATATTTTACTCAGTGCAGCAGTATGAAGGTACCGAGCATCCCAAATAGGGTTTCTGTCCTTGCTCCAACTAGATCTTGTAGCCATATGCTTTTCTTTTTTTTTTCTCATTGGAATAAGTAGGCCAGTCTCATAGCTTTCCACAGTATGTCAACCTGTGGGCTCCGATGTGCTTGTGAGTGGATATTTTAAGGTATGACTTCTTTAAAATCCTATCTTAAATCATGCAAATCCCTCTTTCGGAGGCAAGATGTGTTGTGGCACATTAAGCTGCATATTTTGGAGGTGTAATAAAATGAAAAACTGGCTGTAGCTGTGAGGACTAGAGAGATGTGCATGTGTCATTTTTGTTCTGTTTGTCTTTTTAAAAATCCAATACTTGGAAGCTGGTGGCTTTTCCCCTCTTTTTGTTTTTTCTCATTGCTTTTGTAGTTGATTTGTTTTGCACTTTTGTTTCCTCACCGATAAAGACACTCTTTCTGCACAAAGGAGTTTTGAAAAATGTGGATCCTAACCGTTTAACCAGGATGGACTTATCGGATGTGTTCGCCCCTGTAACGGCCACGATGCCGGCCACTTTGCCTCCAAACTCTTCCCTGGAGAACGTCAGCCAGGCGTCCCCTTCCTCGTCCAGATCTCCTGCTCTACCTCCTCACTCGCAGGTGGCGTCGGTGCTCATCGTGCTGGTGGTCTCCATCATCATCCTGGGCACCGTGGTGGGCAATGTCCTGGTGGTGGTGGCGGTGTTCACCAGCCGAGCACTCAGGGCGCCGCAGAACCTCTTCCTGGTGTCGCTGGCTTCGGCGGACATACTGGTGGCGACGCTGGTCATCCCCTTCTCTCTGGCCAATGAGGTGAGGGAACTGCCTGTCAGATGTTTGCGCTCTAGAACAGCCAGTTTTCACACGCAATCTGCAGCTGGAAGTTGAGTTTGTAAGGAAAAACACATGTTGACTCAGGGTGAATGCAGATGGACACATTGTGGTTGGTTCCTCTGAAAGCTAATTAACTGGAGATGTTGGTAAAAAAGATTTTTAAAAGTACTGTATTCAATCTAGCTGGACACCCAAGTTGCACCTCTGTTTTGAATTTCATGACGGTCGCTGCATTTCCTTCAGCTTTCAAATTGAGGAATCTCACACTCTGACCGTGCCCTTAAATTCCACAATGAAGCCAAGGCTCTGGCATCAGTCAGTATGGCGCCGTTCACAAACCGTGAGCGTTGGGCTTCTGTGTTCTATTAGTGAATAAGAAGAGCTGAGTGAACATGTGGCGTTAGTGATACGTGGTAGATTGTTGTGTCATTCTGAGTAAACCGATCCAAGTAAATTATTAAATGTGAGGTTGGGCGATGTAGCTGTAAAATCTGTCATGATTGTTTATTTCAGTAAATATTGATGATTAATGATCATTTTCATGAACTTTTCTTAATAAAGACCAGGAAAAACAAAAATGAACCAATTTGGCATATTTATCAATGTATACAGGGTAGTAATTTTAATGATAAGAAAGTAATGAAAATGACCCAAATGAATGATAATAAAGGAATGATCTCACTTTTTATACACATTAAATTAGGAAGCAAGTAAAACTTGGAGGTGCTGGCGAAAACCCAAACATTGTCTTTAATAATGTGCTTTCATGCATCTGATGACACTATTCAACATTCTATTGGAAACTTGTCCTTTAGCTATTGATTACGTGTCTTGCTGCATTAGATGTGGTTAGCGTTTCATCAGCCAGCTCTACTTAGTGGGCTGATTCTGTTGAATAGTCCAACTAAGCTGATCTGGCTAAAATATGAAATATATGACTCTTATTTTGACTTTTGTTTCCCCTTCTCCGTTTTATTGATGCATCCAGTAACGTTTTTCATGTTTGGCCATGTTTGTTTACATTTGGCATTGTGAATCGGGGAAAGCTTTGAGATGGGAATTCAGAGCTTAAAGAATGATTTGGTTTATTTCAGTCTGTCTTATTTCCTGTTAATGGGGCTACTGTAGCTCTATAAGTCATATCCCGCAAGAATCCCAAAAATGGAGATCCTAATGTCAGACTGAAGCAAACTTGAATAGAACTGTAAGTGAGCTGGTGTGCTCGAGCTACAGCAAATGATGGAGTCAATTCAAGAGTAGCAGGGACTTAGATAGAGTTGCACCTTCTACAGTAAGCAACGCCGTAGAGTTACATCTAATCTATTTTAAGACATGAAGGGATAATTGTTCATGGGGGGAAAAAAGTAACTTACATGCACAAAGATTAGTTTTTTAGTGATCAGAGAGGGATTTCAAAATGATTCAAGTCAGGCTTTTGACAAAGCTGCAGCGAACTTGGGTTTTTTCTCCCAATAAATGTTCGTGTGAATCCTTGTTTCCCTGAATCTCAACAACAGACATCTTAGTCTTGGGTTTTGTTCAGTTCATTTAATGTTTTATTGTGTAAAGGTCAATGGTCCTAGTGTGTCTCTTGTGTATTTGCTTCCTCCCTTTATCTCCTTTTTCCCCGTTTTTGGTTGCCCTCACAGATTTCACCTGTGTCTTGTTCTCTGTTGGTTTTCTGTGTACAAACAGTCCTGTCTTCATCTTGTCTTATGCCAGTTTTTCGTGTTGTTTACGCTCCTGTTTTGTCTCCAGTTTAGTCTCCTTACCTGAACTCAAAGAGCAAAGTCAGCAAGACCCAGTGAATCCAGTTTTATGTGTAAAGCACCAATTCATCACATTTGTCCCCTCAAGGCACTTTACATTGTAAAGTCAAGACCCAGTAAAATTATACAGAGAAACCCAACAAATGTAAAGACTCCTCTGGATTCCCTTTGAGCAACACTAGGAAGGAAAAACCACCCTTTACTGGGAAGAAATCTGCGGCAGAACCAGGCTCAGAGAGGGCAGCCGTCAACCTCGACCAGCTGGGGTGAGGGTGAAGGAGAGAGAGAACAGGATAGTAGATAGAAAATAGACGAACACAACACACGATAAGAGAACAATAAACACACTGAAGGCCAGTAACTGCAATATAGAGACTTGTAGCTCCAGGTCCAGAGACACGGAGGAGAGGACAAAACACAAAGTACAGGAGACAGAAGACATAAAGCTAGTGACGTGCAATGGTGGCGTATAAATGTATTTGAAAGAGAAGGAGAGGATAGTAGAGGATAGGTGCATCATGGGAAGTCCTTCAGCAGTCTAGCAGCATAACTAAGAGATGGTTCAGGGTCAAGTGAGCAGCCCTAACTATGAGCTTTATCAAAAGGCTTTAGCCTTATCTTAACAACAGAGACGGTGTCTGCCTCCTGAACCCAGACTGGGAGCTGATTTACATGATAGCTGAAGGCTCTAATTCTCATTCAGCTTCTAAAACCACAAGTAAGCCTGCACTCTGAGAACTAAGTGCTCAGTTCAGATACAACGGTTCACAGTAGACACATTAATTTGAAACGTACCAACCTGCAATTATCCTTTAAGGAAACTGGATTAAAAGCTTTTCATTGCAGCAAATGAAATAGTGTTTCATCCAAATGGTTAGAAGATTTTTTTTTTTTAAGTAAATGTAGTGTGAACAGCACAACATGTTTGAGATTCTTAACAACTTCCTGTGGTTTTATCTGTAGGGAAATAAGTGATTACAGTTGTTAACCTTTATGTCCTCATACAGAAATGACAGAATATTATAAAACATGTGAGTGTTTGGAGATGACATAGTTGGAAGAGCGACAAACTCGGGCTGTGGTTTAGGTGGTAGAGCGAGCAGTAAACTCATCGTAAGGCTGGCAGTTCAATCCACCACCACTTGTCAGAGTGTCCTTGGGCAAGACACTGATCCTGAAGTTTGCTGGAATGTGTGAATGCGTGAGTCAATGAGTGAATTAGAAACCAGTCTGTAAAGTGTTTTGAGTACATGGGTTCAGACAATTTACCACATTCAAAGGAAATGGGAAGAATTAGCCAGCCACTGGAATTACACTCAGGTGGTCATTTTTAAACACAGATGACTTATTATTCTGGGTTTCTTTTAACGGTGTCTCGTTAGGTTTAGGAAAAGATGATGGTTTGGGTTAAAATAGACCCTTTAACATCAGCAACAAGCTGCTCCATTTTCTTGGTTGTTTGAGTGATGAGTCCCGTCGTATCTAAAAGGAATAACAGCGACAACACCAACACCATTTGGAAAGGATTTTACGTGTACTTGCTCATATTACAGCAAGAAGTGGTTCATGTGAACAGATTAATCTGCCTAAACAATCGAACAGTGTCGTGGTTTCTCTGGCGAAGTTGTGACCAAATGAGTCTCCAGCCACAGAAGTATCTGTACGAGCCTGCAATGTTGGAATTTTATTTGGTCAGGTTTTTGAATACTTGTACAAAAATACACTTTTTCGGGAGCCTGGATGCCAAGTTATAAGATTGTGTTGATGTTGGTGTTCGATGGCAAGCCAGTTAATTACCACAGTTCACAAACAACATAAATGCTGCATTTTGGCACCAGAGGGAAAGTCAATAAGCTCAGCAAAGTTAGTGACCTTCATCTTCTGAGAGCTACAAATGTCTTTGGAAAATTTCACTGTAATCAATCAACTAACTATGGAAACATTCCAGTCTGAACCAAAGTTGTCGACCGGCTGACTGAAACTCCACCCAAACATGTGAAAGATGGCCCAACTTTTCTTTTTCCTGCTGTCTCAACAACCTGCATAGGAGCCCTTCCAGTGTTGAAATGTCACTCCTTCCAACCGAATACAAATATTGAAGTCTGATCATAATGCAGTCAGAATCAAGTTAAGGTGTTTAGTGTGAGGTGCAAAAGCCGATGTTGCATCCAAATCTTGTACCCAGATAAAGACTGCATGATGAAACCAGGTGTAAATGGGCTCTGTTTTATGCATGAGGTTCTGCTGTTGGAAACCTGCATTTATCCGGGATCGTGGATCAATAGGAGCATTTCCATTTTCCTGCTTTTATTCACATTTTCAATCTGAAAACACCCAGAGGGAAAATGCTGACAATTGGAAAAAAGAATCACGCGTGCAGTGGAAACGGATGAATGATGAATAATACATGACAACATATATGATGCCTATGCTTCAGTGGAGAGATGACAAATAGTTGTAAATATCAGCTCCGTGTGGATATTATTACACTAAGAAAACATAAAGACCATGATTTCATTTACATTTTTTTTCTTTTGGGCCTCAGCGGGAGCTCTTTGAATGACATCATCTCCTTGCCTCGTCTTCTTCTGCTGATGTTCTATTAAAGCAACTTCAACTCCTTACATTTGCAGAAAGGTTGTAGAAAGAACCGAGAATTCATCTGCATGTTCTCTCGCCAATTTTGTCTAAAGTCGGTCAAAATTGGTGCTACGTATGCAATCGAAATGTAAAACTGTGCAATGTAGTGACCCCTAGTGGCAGGAGGTGATAAGACTTCATATCCCAAAAATGTAGAAGACATACAATCAGTTGCAGAACAGCTTGAAACACTTAAAAAGAAAACATTTAAAAGCAACACCTGCTCTGTATCAGTCTTTTTTTTGGTGACGGTGATGTGGAAGCACCTCGTTATTAGGAATGTCCCATTACCGATGTGAATGATCGGTATTGGCACCAATTTAAGCGAGAGCATTTTATTTACATCTGCTGTCACACAGATGTGTAAATTTAAATGATTTCCCAAGTAAATGCAGCATCATCTATCTATAGTTCTATAGTAGATTCTATAATTGATTCTTTTCAAACATACGTTAAGCACGCTAGACATTGTCTTTTGGTAATGTCGCTACTTTAAGCCACTAACTTGATACAGACCGCAAAGACAGCTTTTCTATATGCTTCTCGTATGTAATAATGTGACCGTAGTTGATCTTGGCTTGATTTACCATTGGGTCGGGGGTCACTAAGCGTCACATAAGGCTTCATCAAGGTCCCCTTTACTAGCTAAACCGCCCCAATGTTCTCTGCAGTTTTAGAAAGTAAGCAGTGCTACAGTTAATAGACAATAAGTGGGTGTTCTCTTGGAAGATACTAATTGTAAAATGATTCAGATCAGATTGGGAGCAAAAAAGTTTGATCAGGCCACTCCTACTTATTATAAAATACTAAGTAATAGTTTTCTGATTTTACACAGTAAGCGTAACAAGGCCGAACATTTCCAAGTACAACCTCTGAGATGTCTGAATAACTGGAAGGGAGAATCGTCGCTGATCTGGAGAAATGTTCACGTTTTACTTTGAAGTGTTACTTTTGTCCCTTTGCTGCGAGTTGAGATTAATTTGATCGTGTTATCCAGCAGCGACAGGACTCTCTGGTCTGCATTAAAATGTGTGAGACGTTCTCACATAATTCTTTATTTCTTTTAAGATGAACTTTGGGCTTTTCAGTGTTTCTTTGTGGGAAACTTTTTCTATTGATTCGTGGTTTTTTTTCCCCCTCACGGCACAGTCAGTCTGGTACTTCGGGTCATCCCGGTCATTTTGTCTGGTTTACTTATCGTCTTATTCCTTAACTGCTTTTTAGCACAGCCTGCTTGCTTCTCTTGTTTTCCGGTTGAGTGACTTGTTGAAATTCTAATTAGGCGATAATATGAGAGTGGAGAGAAAACAAAGATAATGAAGACCTATTATAGCTGCATCAATCTACAAATACTCTCTATATACTTTCAAATCTATCAGCTCTGTTGATGTATTCTCACCACTGAGAATTATCTTCCTACATGATTATTATATATTCTTTCTTGAATAACAGATTACTTTTTTTAAAATGCAGAAAATGTCTTATTAGAACTGCTTGATGGTGACTGAAACAGCTTCGGAAACCTCGTGTGTCTGATGGAGGAGGAGGCGACTGTGTCCAAGCGTTTCGTTCATTTTTCAGCATCAACTATCAGAAATTCACTCTGCCTCTGTTTTTTTTCTGTCTTAGACGAGTATTTGTGGCACATCGTGACGTTAAAGAGAATAAGAAGGTCTGTTATACAATATGTTTTTAAGTTGGGCCTTTTGCAGCTATAAATACTCATGATTCCGCTGGTAGGTTGAAAACATCAGTACTTGTTTCTGATGTAACCCAACCTCTAGAGTCGACTAGAGCTGCCCCATGAAGGTTAATTCTTTAATCTGCATGACGTAAGTTGAGTTTTGTTGAAAGTGAGAGACTCTAAGTGAGAAGCAACGTTACAAGCACATTGTTGCAGCCAGTGTGAAGTGTTTGCCAGCAGAGGTTTGGTCAAAGTAGCGAATCGATGTTGCCGTCCCCGGAGCAAAAGCAGAACATACTCCGTCATGTTAGACTACAAATATACACACCTGAGAAGCTGGTACCAGACAGTATTTGCCATTTTTACTTAAAAGGTTCGTACATCTGTTGACTGCACTGAAGACGATGGCTCCATCTCGTCCTTTCTCTGAACTTCAGCCTCATTTCACACCTTTACAAACAAAGACTGTGAGTGACGCTCTTCAGAAACGCTAATGCAGCGTAAAACAGGCGTTTTTGTAGCCAAACTGCATGCAATGCAATATTTACTTCTTTATCACCTGCCAGACAGAAAAATACAGACGATGAAGCGGCACATCTTTACCTCTTCAGACGAGCTTTCTATCCCTGCAGGGGAGTCTGTTTGGAAGCACAAGCTGTGCAGGAATTTGATGGATATTTTACAGTTTCTTGCAGCTGTGAAAAGATTGTAAATAATTTTTGAGGTGGTTGGTGTGAAACTAGCAAACTCACTGTGAGTGTTTCCTCCAAAGTAAATACAGCAGCAGCCAGCGTGGCAGCGGTGAGATATTGAGTGAATTCTTTTTTGAGGTGAAATAATCCTGCATCAAGGCCTCGCTGAGTGACTGAAGCCGACTTCTCAAACAAGTTATTAACATATCTTAATTGCTTTTTTTCCAGGTCATGGGCTACTGGTACTTTGGAACCACCTGGTGCTCCTTCTACCTGGCTCTGGACGTCCTGTTTTGCACTTCCTCCATCGTCCACCTCTGTGCCATCAGCCTCGACCGCTACTGGTCCGTCACTAAAGCCGTCAGCTACAACCGCAAACGGACGCCGAAGAGGATTAAAGCGATGATCAGCATCGTGTGGCTCATATCTATTGTCATCTCGTCCCCGCCGCTCCTCATGACCCAGAAGGAGAAGGACGTGGATATGGAGGATGAGAGCGACGCTCCCATGCAGGAGTGTCTCCTCAACAACCAGACGTGGTACATCCTCTCCTCCTGCCTCGTGTCCTTCTTCGCACCAGGAGTCATCATGATACTGGTTTACTGTAAGATCTACCGCGTTGCCAAGCAGCGGGCCTCCACCGTGTTCGTGGCGAAGAACGTGATGGAGCGGCAGCCGTCGCAGTCCGAGACCTGCTTCGCGGCCGCTGCCAGGACTTGCCAGTTAAAGGGATCCCAGTACGAGCTGGACAGCCCGCGGCCCGCGAACCGACACAGCTCCTCCAACGTGGACAGCAACAGCAGCGGCCACCGGAGAGGAGAGCTGGATGATATTGACTTAGAGGAGAAGAGCTGCGAGGCCGACACAAAAACGTCCTCCTCGTTTTCCTCGTCTCTGCGCTTCCCCAGGAGGGCCGGCGTCAGAGTGAAAACAGAGGAGGCGAAGGAGGCCGAGGGATCAGCGAACAGGCTGAAACCACCTCCTCCTCCGTCCTGCGCCTCCATATCCTGGGCCTCCTCCGACCACTGCTCCCACCATTATCTCCTCCCGTCTCCGGTGCCGCTCCGAAGCCGGCAAATGTCTCTGTCCAAAAACAAAGTGGCACAAATGCGGGAGAAGCGCTTCACATTTGTTCTGGCGGTGGTGATGGGCGTTTTTGTGCTCTGCTGGTTCCCATTTTTCTTCACTTACAGCCTCCAAGCTGTCTGCAGGGAGAACTGTGTCATCCCCGACACGCTCTTCAACCTCTTCTTCTGGATTGGATACTGCAACAGCTGCCTGAACCCCATCATATACACGATTTTTAACCGAGACTTCAGGAGGGCCTTCAAGAAGATTTTATTTCAGACTCATAAACGAACTTAAGATGAGAATGTACAACCCTGCTACCCAAAAATTACATTCCTATACAACTAAACTGCATTCTTAGTTACATTTTTGAAGGAAACATATTTTCTCCCTGAAATGTAAGACTGCGATGTAGTTTGAAATAATGCCAACAACACCCGCCTAAATATATCAATACTAATAAATGATACCATAGATGATATGCCATTAAACAACAGGAATCAATTACTGGACCACAACATCCTAAACATTTTCCCATCCAACCAGAACATGAGAAACTTTTCATAAAGATCAACTGTTTACACATTTCTCCACCTTCATATGTCAGACTGCTGCTTATTAAAAGGTTAAATCCTCGCAGCAGCCCTTCAGTGCACATTTTAATCTCTTACTTTGACTTTTTCTGCAGGAATTCAGTTGATCCTTGGTTGATCAATGTGCAGTGATTGGTTTGCGAGCTATGGAAAAGCTAGAAATGTGAACGTTGCGTTTGCATAGAGATGATGATAGAAATGTGTTTCACGTTGGTAAGTTAGCTAACACTTATCAGTGGTCTTTTACCTCATCAAACTTGGAGGGTGAAAAATTTGCTTGTTACAAAACTAATCACACATTTGACTTACATTTGAGGGCGTGATGCACTTATAGTATCTATCACGTTGGCAAACTTTTTGAATTCTTTGTACAAATCCACATATCTGTTGGAGAGATGCTTTGCTCAGTTGGACGTGTTGGTAGATAAAACGTCTTTTGCCGACAGGTTTCATGGTGTCAGCGGGTGTTTCCTCACTCTACCCTGCTGTGGCACATCGGCATTAATAACAAAATAGCAAAACATTGCTGATTAATCATAACATCGCGATACTTTTCTAGTATCAACAAGTCATGAAATGAAATGAAAAATACTTTATTTATCCCAGAAGGGAAATTCAAGTCATGCAACACGAGTAGAAAAAGAGTTCCAGTTTCAAGGAGCCAGAAACTAAAGAAGGATGGAGGCACAAGCTGGTGCAAGTATGCAAAGCACTGCACGATGTAAATTTCTCCCCAAGTCTGTTACAGTCCAAACACCGCTCCATAGGCAGTCCAAAACTTGTTTCCGGTAACTTCACCACAAGGCCAATAATGCCCATGCTCTGCAGTAGTGTGCATGCATAAGATATATAGATATACGACCTACTGTGCATGCATGCAATGGAGTCTTCCAAGCAGACTAACGCAGACGAGAACAACAGAATAATAGCATCAACTATGCATCCACGGGTGTCCACAATATAATCGAGGCTTAAGTCAGCAATAGCGCCCAGCAGGCCGGGGTTTGTGGGTTTTCTCTCACTGTTTGGTTTGGTTTCTGCATGGAATCCACAAGGTTTGGTTTAGAAAACTTTCACGCTTTGGTTGACACTTTAATGATAACTACAAATCAGAAGCTTGGATAAGTTTAAACATCAAAAGTACATGGTTATGATTTAGGAAAATATCTCGGTTTGTGTTAAAACATGACCCGTCTCATCACGTCTGAAGCTTCTTTTACATTTTCTGGGTTACCACAGTCACAAACCCGCTGCATCTAAAATATGGTTGGTCGGGTAAAAAGGAGCGACAGTGAAGCAAAGAAATAAATGGCAAAGTTATGTTGGATTTAAATTGTATTTCTGACACGCAAACTAGTAGAAAGTATGTTTCCCTTAAAGTGTAATTGCAGTTTAGTTGTGTGGGAATGTGATTTTTGGGCGGACGGGGCTGGAATGTATGTGTTTACGTGACACAGAATCGAACACAAATGTGCAGTTTTAATCCTGTTTTCCACTGTGCTGTCATATCGACATTAAAGGGCTTGTCATACAGGCGGAGTATTGATTTATTATTCAGCTGCTTACTAATTTATTGAATAATTACTCCTAATTCTAGCGTAAACACACCAGAGGACGGTGATTATGACACATGGATGGTGTGGAGGCAGGTGTTTCTGACTCCTGCCCCCTTGATGCGAAACACACTGACATTACAAGTCCGCTTGCGCCTGAACTTGAATGTTAATTAGAGGAAAACGGCCGCAGGGCTGCGAACTACGTCCCCGTGGAGCCTCAAGATGTCCGTGCGCTGTAGCAGGAGGAGTGACTGATTCTGCAGCGCTTACGCTGAAGTGGAGAGAACAAAAAGGGCTGTAAGGAAAAACAAGTGCGCTTAGAATAACACACAAAGTGTTTTAAACGGTTTTCTGTGCCCGAGAGTAATTAAACACCAGCAGCACATGAAGTTTAAACTTGGAGTAGAGACTTAAAGAAGAGAAAAGCCAAGTGAAAGTTAGCAGCAACAATGTTCTGTTGACACGACACAGCTCGGGGGCAAAGGCATTAAAAATTCATGTGCAGCGAGCAGATGGGCTGAGCTGCTGCAAACAGAAAGAGGACAAAAGAGAAAGAAAGGCAGAGGGAAGAAAAGCCCGAGCCTAACTATACCCGAGCCTCTGAATAATTATCATCAACCTCGGGCTCGTACAGCGATGGATAATTATCCTCTGAGGCTCGGGCTGAAATAACTGGGCGGGCTGCCGTGGGCTGTGTGACTCAAAGCTCGCGTCTCTGCTGTTTCTGTGGAGCAGTAAAGAGCCTGAACCCTAACCTGACCTGGAAATAACTGGACACAGAGCACCAATCATTACTGAGTTCATCAGTCACTTCCTGCAGACTGCAGGAAAGTTTGAGGCACCAGTTACTTTTAATGCAGGAACAGACAAAGACGATAATGAAGCCTGATGCAAAGCAGCGATATGAGTGTCGGTGGCAGAGGGAGCAATAAGTCCAGGAAAAATCGTTGTGGTTGCTAGGCAACACCAAGTTTGACAACAACTTTGAAGTTGTGTAATGTGTGGCCTCACCTGTAGTTAATTATAAATAGGATAAGAAAATGGACCACATACGCAAAAATGATGAGCAGCTCATGATGACATAAGCTTCGGTGCAGAGGTTGTGCCAGAAATAAGACTCCGGAGAAGCTGGAGGATTGATTTATCTGCTGATAGAAACAGAGACAGGAACTCTTTCTTCTGACTCTAAAAGGCCAGTCAGCTGCTCATTCATCAACGTAATTGACGCCTTGCCACACACTGGAGACGATGCTGGCATGCAGTAGCATTCTTGGTACTAGTGACCAGCATCCATGGAAATCCAATGATTTGCGTTAATCAGCAACTAACAAGCCACTAGCATCCATCAGTAAAGCTATAGTGACAGTTTAATGACGTCAAAGTAAAGTGTGCCTTCTTACCATTCTATCTACACATTATTTTATCCATTTACTTTAGCATATTAGATGACTATCATCATTAGCTGGATGCAGTGATGTGCTCATCCTTGGAAGCCACTAGCATCTCTCAGCCAGCATCACGCATTCCAATGCTTGTGACTAGCACTAGCATTTATTGGATAGCAGCTAGCATTCCTTGGGTAATTGCCTGCATCCCTCAGCAACTGACCTGCATTCCTAGACTGGTAACAGGCATTCCTAGACTCCGAGGTGAATAGCTGGCATAACTAGGCTAGCGATTAGTATTCTCGGCCGGCAGTAGTATTTCAAGGTGTATAACTGCCATCCCTAAGCAAGTCACTAGCATCCCTAGGCCAGTGACTATCCAGCGATGACTAACATTCTTAGGCTAATGACCTGCATCCCTAGACTAGCAACTAGAAACCCTACGCTAATGACCTGCATCCCTAGACTAGCAACTAGCAACCCTACGCTAATGACCTGCATCCCTATTATAAATACCTTCATCCCTAAGTTATACACTAGCCTGCCTAAGCTCCTGGGCTAGTGCACAACTTTCCTGATGTAGTACCCTCCATTCCTTGGCAAGTCACTAGCATCCCTAAGCTGACCATTAGCATTCCCAGGCTAGTGACCTGAATCCCGGGTCAGTTCAATTCAGTATAATTCAAATAACTTTATTTATCCCCTCGGGGCAATTCAAATTCAAAATGTCTACTGACCTGTATCCCTAGTCTAGTCGCTAGCTTCCCTAGGTTAGTGACCTGCATTCCTCGGCAAGTGATTAGCATATTTAGGCTTGCCACTTGCTCACCTGAGCTAGCCACTAGCATCCTTTGGGTACTAACCTGCAACTAGCATTTCTAGCCTTGTGACTAGCATTCCTCGGCCAGCCATTCACATTTTGATACTAGTGACCAGCCTTCACAGCTAGTGATTAGCATCCCCGGACCAGTTATTAGCATTCCTAAGGATGCTAGGCTAATGAATACCATTCTTATGCTAGCCACTAGCATCCCTAAATTGGCAAGCGACTAGCATTCCTAGGCCAGCTGGAGACGATTTAATGGTGAGAAAGTGTGGCTTCATACATTTTTAAACATAAAACTTTTTAAACTGTATCTTGTTTAATCAATTTGGGATGAGTTTTAAAATGTTTTCTGTTTAAATAAAAAAATTCTGAGACAGTACTTCATTAAAAAAACAAATGAAAACATTAAAGTTGCTCTTATACTTGATTGAATGTAGCATTAATAGGAAAATTTTTTATTGTTTTTTTTTTTAACAAAGTATTTTGGTAAATGTCACATTAGATAAAGTAGATGAACAGTCACTGGCTCCTTTGGTTTCTCAATAGTTTTTTTAAAATTATTTTTCATTAGAGTGATCTTGCACCATGACAACAGAGGGATCAAGAATGCCACAATTACAACGCAAATATCATATTATGTTCATATGTTCATTTAAACAGGTTCTGCTCACTGTAATCACCGAAATACTCATTGAAAAATAAGAAAGTAAGATCCAAGTCGTATTAGATTGTGTCCTTTAACTTACTCCCACTATTTTAACGCTTCTTTGAACATCCAATTAACATAAAACACTTTTCTAGACATGTGTCTCATTAGTTGTATTCACTGCTTTGGTTGTATTTTCAGCCCAGAGAGCTCAGCCATCCTCCTCTCCTCTGAATGGATGCAAGAGATTGTTTTAAAAACCTGCCAGCTGGACGTTTTGGAGGCTCACGGTCCACAATGAGAAACACAATGACTCTCCTCCTGCCAGGTGGAACGATGAAGACGAGGTCCTGGACCCGACGAAGCTACAAATCC